AGTTTATTTAATTTATCTATCCTTAAATAAATAAAATATATAATTATCCATTATACCGATGTATATGAATCGTCCGCGTAGTATAGTTATTTTGCTGTAACTAAATTTGTTTTTTGTCTTTATAAATCTAATTATCTTTATTAATTTAAGCTGTTACGCGTGGTCGCGTCCCTTTGCTTGCAACCCGTCGTTTTTCGTCGTTTTCGTTTTATATAATATATCCAAAGCAGAAATAGGATGACAACACATCTTATTTAGATGATATATAGCTACGGTATTCTACCTCTAATCAAGTCCCGTCTTTGTCTTGTTTAGTACATATACGACAAACTAAATAATAAAACGTAACTATACTGCGTGTCTGTCTCGATTATTGTGGTGGGTCTACGCTTTATAAGATCTTACGTGGAAGCACATCTATCTCCAGCAATGATTTGATGTTAAGTGTCCGAATACCTAATATTAACCGACACATGACTAAAAATTGTAGTTTTTGTAGTAAATATTGTAGAAGTGTCTAGGCGACGTTCTATTCTTTATGTCTACGGTAATAAAACATAGAGCTAGACCGGGTCGTATGTCAAAATAAGTGCTAAAACTCTCGACGATGTCCCTAGCACGCCGTTTTCACGACGAAAACAGAAATAAACGACCGCGTCGTTATTTCGCTAAAATAATAATAATTTAAAAATATCGATGATATAAAAATATCGTCTTATTTGTAATTCTAGGAAATGTGTTTACCTCGTTTCTACTTTTCATGTTCGAAATGCCGACTTATTATGGTTTTGCAACACTAAAGTATTTTAATTAAACACTTTTGACCGTTTAAAACTCGAAATGTATTAGTTTATCTTATTCACGAATAATTTTAACAACAGCTCGACTTTTCAGACGCTTTACAGGCAGTGGTCACGGGGACACATTTCGAGTTTTAAACCGTTAAAATTTGTATTTAAATATGTACTACTCGTGTAAACTACAGACAGTATTTAATGTAATATAACTTTTATGAATAACTGAAACCAATATTAGCAGTGTTTTTGTTCGATAAAAAATCTCGAGTGCTTCTTGTTCCGAAAATAAATCTTCATTCAATCGCGATACGATAGTGGGCCGTTTCTGAAAGTTATAATTGAAAAACTTCAGCCGTGACCACTTCGGCCTAACCAACTCGCCGATAACCACTGAGATCTATTTCATATGAACAATATTTTCGAAGGCCTTCATGGTATTGTAAAATAACAGAGGTAGTTATTTCACTTGAATTAATATTTCTGATATAGCGAACTTTTATTATATAAATCGGTTTTCAATTTTTATCGATATTATGCTTTGCTTAATCACAAATGTGACAAAAACTTATGCATTTCGCCAGAGACTTAATACTTAAGATTAAAAATTATTTATTCTTATTAATTTTCTACAAATAGACCAATAATCACACTCCAAAAATTTGTTAATAAAATAATAAGTTATATGGGAATGTTTCTAAGTCGCAAGCGACATAAGTATTGAATAAATAAAATTTAAAAGTTAACAAGTAATCATTTATGATTTTGCACAACGGGGTACTTCTGGTGTATCAGCTCCAAACAAAGCTGAATGAAACACTTTGTATTTGTGTCCATTATGAATGCACCGCGTTAAAAGACAGTAAAATCGCTTTAAAAATTTATCTCAAAAACAACGAAGAGCGAGTAAAAGGTTTAAAAATAAATCTTCTTTGTTAAGCTAAGTAACTTAGGCGCGTTACGCGTCATGCATAAAACTGCCTACGACGCTACGGCGTAGCATACATAAAAATTTATAGTCCATGACACGGTACAAAAAAGGATTACCCAATAAATTGTATTTTCAGTGGCAAATAAATAAAATTAATTAAGCGTTATAAGTCTGCAAAATGCTTTTATATTGTTAAATTTAAAGGCTTTTTAAAATAAATTGTGTAAGGCTTTCACGGCCATCGTTCAGCATATCATTGTTTTTCGGGCTGTTCGAAGAATTCTTTGAGCAATCGTGATGATAATGACGTGATGACGTTTGTCGAGAACCTCTCGATCACGTCAGCCGAAAAACAATGATATGCTTTTTTAAAAGTTTTAATCGATTCCGTACTTCAATGAGAACCGTCCTAACTTCCTAAACCTAGGAAATATAGAATAGTTTCTGTTGGACGTCGCACTAAAGTCAAATCAACTTAGTGAAACAATAACAGAACTATTACATTTGCATCTTGCAAAATTGCGCCCATTTTGCAAAGCTTTGAATTGAGAATAAGCGTTGATCATTATTTGCCAAGTCCAGGTAAACGAAACGTGTTGACTTTGATGATGCCGCTTGTGATGACAAATTACCATCATTTTTCATTTACGCGATCAAAACAACTTGAAAACTTTAGTTTTTAGTAAAGGAACTGTGACCACGATGTAATAAATGTTTATATGTCAGTATCAAACATAATTATTTTTATTAAATTTTCTTAAATATTAAAACGGTCAACTAAACTTACAACTATAAAATTATTCCAAGCTCGACATTTTGCCTACGACCATGAAATTGTTATTATACAAAGCAAACTCCTAATTTGAATACATTATAAAGGTCCCTTAATAAGGAACCTTATTAAAACTGATTAGCCCTTTAGGACCTCAATGAAAATTTACTAGCTAAATTTTAATACACTTTCCTCTTTTTTGTGAATTTGCTTTATGACCAACAATTATATTTTAGCTAAGTTGTATTATGCCTTTAGTATGACTACTGTGAAAATGAAAAATAAATATAATTTGAATGTAAATTGATAGACATACAGAATATCTTAATAATTGTTAAAAAAAATTACAGAACGAGAAACATACTTTGTATTACTTTCATATAGAGATACTCCGCAGAACTTAAAAAACTTAGAGTTTTTATAAGTTCTGTTCTCATATTATTTTTTTGTCAACTCTATACAGTTCACTCGATCTCAAGAAGTTTAAGTTTAAATAAACTATTTATAATTTAATAATAACGTTCTTGAAAACATTAATATTTTTCACATGTTATTGCACATGAAGGCACTATATAATTTAAAAATCGAAAATAAATTGAAAAAATTTTAGACATTGAGCCTTAATACGCAAGTGTTAAGGTAGAAATTACATTGCGCGAGAGGTGCATGTATCAATAAGTTGAAAAAATTCGACGATGAGGTGTAGGACTCGGTAGCTCAATTGGTAGAGCAACAGCACGGAAAGCTGACGATGCCGGTTCAAGTCCTGCCCGAGTCGAAAATTTTTTCAATTTATTTTCGATTTTTAAATTATAATAACGTTCTTAAAAAGTAGTCAAAATTCCTGATTAGGCTTAGATTAGATTTCTGATAATACTTGAAATTCTTATAATTTATAAAAAGAAATTCATTGTTATGACACTTTAATATCTTGTCGATCAGTATCGAGTACTGCCTAAGGTTGAAATCCCAGTTGGGACTAAAAGTGCTGTATGAGCAATCAATAAAGATCAAATCCAAAAAAAGCATCTACTCTATATTTATATAATTCTAGAAATTTTAGAAGGATTCTCTGCAAACATTCCATTGACAAAATGTCACAGCTTTCATTAAGGAAAGTCAAATAGCTATCAAACTTGCCCAATCTTCTGGGAAAAGGTGAACACAAGACAACCTTAAGTTATATTTTAGCAAACATATACGAATCTATTCAGTGAATTTGCCTAATTAGAGTACACGTTGGATGAAGATGTTTGAAAAGTTTTGTTATACATTATTTCAATTTGTATTACTTTGTAGCGTGAAATTGTAAAGAAAACAACGATCTTACTGCTGAAATCCATTCATTATTAATTTTTTTAAATAAAACACAAAATAAAACTTATAATTCTGAATATTTTATAAAAGTTTATTAGGGAGGTGGAAAATAATTAAAATTTTCGGGGAATAGAGTTGGCGTAAAATGTACAATTTATCAATGAAATAATTTAGAGACCAGTTTTTAAGATAACTTATTATTTATATGACTAAAAACACTATTGCATTCTTTATTAACTTCGACTCCACATATTAGTTGCTTTACTAAGTAATCGGAGTTATTTTATCCACTATTTCCACTTATGTAAACTAAGAAAGAAAGGCGGATGGACCATGGAAGGCAATGCTCCTTCAAGGGTCAACTACGAAAAAATAGTACTTATTGCCAAGTGTCGTTAAATTCCTCCTACTCGCACAAAGCCTTATCCAACTTACTATATACTACTATACTATTTTGTTTGTACGACTTCTTGTATCTTGGACATCGGTCATCGATGTTAAAATTATAATACCTCACAATATTCACCTATTATTATCTTATTTCTTTTGAAATGTAAATTGTCCTCTGAAATACCAAATCATTGACACCGTAGTCCTTGCGACACATTTTTGGGGGACGATGTTCCGTGTGATCCTAATTGGGACTTGTACAGGAAATTTTGTATCGAATATTTCGGCAACCAATGTTGGGGTAATTTAAACTTTACTTGTTTACGATGTTTAATATTAACTTCTAAAATTTTCTTGGTTTAGTTAACCAATGTAATACTTAATATTGTAAAGCTGAAGAGTTTGTTTCCTTGTTTGATTGAGATATACAGACAAGCGTGGCATTTACTTTATGGTAGGTGAACCTGAGCTATATAACATCTAAACAAGATGCTCTGTCGATCTATTTTGGCTTTGGATACCGAAACGCGAACTTAACGGTTCTTACATCTTTGGACGGACACGGACAAAATTTGGATATTCCTACCACCCTTTTAATGTTAAAGATTTCCAGACAAAGATCAACATGTTACAGAAGAATTATAAATTGATTAGAAACATGTTGGACCCGGTGGGAATCAAACCCACGACATGTTAACTATAAGCTATACTTCGTTACCACTACACCAACGAGCCCTTTTTTTAATTGATTGTTTCGTTTACAAACACATTTTAATGTAAGGCTTTTTTGTTACAGAAATATGTGAGCGAACTGACCGTTGTTCGTGACTGTGTGGAGACGTGCAGTGAAAAAGGTATGTTGTAGCTAGTTTTAACCTAATACTTTTATACATTAAATTCCACAGATTTTTCAAGAGAAGGGCAAGGTTAGAATGCAAATTGTACATTTTACTTTAAAAAAATATTACGTGAGTTCGTAAACACACTGCTGATCTTGCTGAAAGCTGATTTATTTAAAGTTTTATTTTTTGTTACGAAAAAAGGGAAGTGATATGCATCTTCGCAGGGCATTCTATATACCATTATCTATATATAAAAAAATATTAATACATTTTAATGATATTTACAATAAAACCCACCAAGCTATCTATAATTAATCTTTAACAATTAAGTCGTATACACGTAATGTTAAATTAAAATTAATTTTATTAAATTTATTTATTTAAGTTTCTAAAAGTCAAATGTGACCCTGAACATTTGCTCGCAAGTGTATAATGATATAATTGTATGACGTACTTTAGTAAAATTGCCATTGTTGGCGACATTTTAACCCAGTTCATGGTGTCGTGGAGTGGGTACATTTTTATGAATGTACTTTTGAATAGAAGTTAAAAAATTATTCATATTATAATGTTTTATTCACAGTAACTTAACAGGTTTGAGGCAATTTCAATAAATAACATTTTAAAGCCACTTCAAGGAGATACCAATAGAAACAATATAATTCAAAGATTTTTTGTGATCTATCAAATTCAAAGCAGGTCATCCTGACGATAACAGTGAATTTAGCTAAAGTAGATTAATTAAACATTTCTTACAAACTACTAAATGTATTGATTAAATCAAAATATCTATCTTATTTACACTTCATTAGAAGTATTCAACTTCAACAAATTACAGACAATGCTTTAACACAACAATTTCTCTAGTGCAGTCACTATATATTAATACTTCCTACCAAACGTACTACTTCAGAGCAAATTTAGATCAAAATTATAACAAACTAATTCTATATATAGTACGAATGAAGTACTCGAACGAAAGTTTGCCATATGTTTCATACAACAGTTTATAAGACTAAGTAGCGTAAAAATCAATACTAAAAGCGATGTTATGTATTTTTGTTTATCTTTCGCGAATAACCTGCACACCTGCTTAAAGGGTCATTTAAACCCTGGAATATACAAAACTAAAAAACCAATTAAATTTTTAAAAAAAACCCTTATTTTTTCAATTTTTGGGGAGATTTAAATCCAACCTATCTCAATGTAGAAATCTGGATACTTAATGGGTAATATCGGAATTCCGTCCACACATGAAAAAGCCATGAAATTCAATTGTGTTTCAGTCTGTGGATTTCAGAATATCTATATACAAAATAGGAAGACAGCGAGTCTAGTTAAAATGTTATCAGACTGGAATATTTCACTGCTCTCTGTCATAAAATACACAAAAACATAATTATTTAGTTTTGAAATCAGTTTTTATACCGGGTAAGACGAATATAATATACAGTATATAATAATAAATAAAATTCCCAGGGCTTCTAGCAAACCAACATTACTCTTAAAGCACGAAACAACTCGTGTTTCGCAAGATGCGTGTTTATTTCGCAACATTAAGGTGAATGAGCTACATTATGGGCCATTCGTTGCCTGAAGACCGAAATAGGTGAGTTTTGTTTGCGGCGAAAATTGTTTACAAAGAAGTTTTGCTACGTTTTAATTCGCTTAGAAGGTCGTTTGTGTTTTATTTCTCATCAAGTTTTGTAACACTGAAAGACAAAATCTCTGTCTTATACAGTACCTTATTTCCACCCCATAATTATATGGTTAAACGTATAGCTTTGTGTGAAACATGAGAGTACCTAGATCCGAATACTTGGGAAACGATTGTTTATTTCAGTTGAGAGGGCTCTGAAGTCTAATCTACTTAATGGTCAGATTTCATTTACAGGCCTATGAATAAAATCGATCAAAAAACATAGAGATTTGTTGGCCTCGTGGCCCACAAGACAATCACAGATTTCACAGTAATAAGTATTTTTTGGATTGTATTAATTAATATCAAATTTCGATATTATTTCAATATTCATTGTTACAAAGATAAGGCAGAAATCATCTATTCACATAGGTAACTTGGTCCACTTATAAACTTCAAACCAAATACTTTCCGTATTTTACGCGAGTGTATATTAAAATAAAACACTTAAAGGATTAAAACGCGATCTAAATTAGTTAACGGCCCGACATTTCGGATACTTTGCAGCAGCCGTACGGGGATACGTACTTAAAATAAGTTTTACTAATACATATCGCGTTTTAAACAGTTAAAGTGTTTCATTTAAAAAACGTCAAAACCAGAGTAATGTGACCTACCTATTACCACGGCTGGACAGGTCGATTCTCTTATAGGAGAATTAGTTCAAGAGATTAAAGCCACCATACTTCTTTAGTGTACAAGCTCCGAAGACTACAACCAATAAAATAGTATTGACAAATAAACACAGCTAGTACATTATATAATGGTGTTCGTCTTTTGTTTTTCGTAACAATGATAACATAATGTTAATGTATGAAAAGTATACACAAGAATGAGCTATTATTATTATTAATGACCTATCAATGTTTTATTCATATTGCATCGTTGGCGAATTGTAAACCGGCCGACCAGCATTGTTCGCTTGGCATCTCGCCACAAGAATTCTCGCTGAATATTTACCGATTGGAATATAAATAATCGATTGGAAATGTCTTTTCGTAAGTCTAGGATTTTGGGTCGTCTGCCATCATTTTCGAAGTAAATAACGCATAGACGATAAATTCAAATAACGGAAACAAATTCCAAATTCAAAAAATCCTTTAGTTCCTATTTCGTAACCAAAGCTTGGCCGCAATACTCGTATTCCTTTGTAGTGGATGACACATATTTGCTTCCTATTTATTTATTACTTTTTTTAGGATTCAAGCTGCTGAACACAAATTTGTGCTTTGTCTAACCAAACTAATAATATATTTTCCCTAGATTAGAACCCAACTCGATATCATTATATCAGACACTTCACTGTTTCGAGTTTTAAACCGTTCAGAATGTTTTATTACAATGTGTACTATTCGCGAAAGCTATAGACAATAGGACAATATAATATTATAAATTATGTAACAGTTTGTATCAGGGATTACCGAGTTTTTCTTTACATATACGTTTTTTTTCTAATGCTTGCTTCCTTTCTCGTGTAGCTAATTATCTGTCTCAAACAGTTGGACTACGTCTAAAAATCTGAATATTTAATGGGTGGCAGTAATATCGAAATTCTTTCCGGTCATGAACCACCGTCCACAAATGAAAAAGTTGTGCATATCGGTTTCAGTCTGTGGATTTCGGAATATCCAAAGCCAAAATAGGGCGACGGCGCATCTTTTTAAGATGTTATGTGGTTTGGGTATTTAAACTTACATCAGGTGTACTCCGTGCTTATCTGTCCTCCACTATAAAAAAGCTGTTGATTAGAATTAAGTATTTAAGATTAATCCATTTGATTTAACCTATAGGCACTGACGTAATGCAAAGCAATGGCGCGCCAGTAAAGGCGATTTACCATATAAACGAATTGGACAAATTGCTTTTTTATGGCTAATTCAGTAATCAAATGTTACAGCTGGCCTATAAAAACAAGAGTTACTGCATTAGGCTAAAACTCGAAGCTGGATTTTTCCATTACTATGCGCGATAATTCTGACGACTGAGTAAACAGTTTTATCGTAGCATAGATAAATTTAATGTTTTAGAAGGTTTGTTTTATATTTACAACCCATATAATAGAAGAAAATAAAAAAGCGAAAAGAACTCCGATCTATTGTTTCACGTGTTTTAGAAAGTTCATTGTCAAAACAGTCATCTTGACAAATCAACAATATTATGTAAAACGTTTCACTGTCAGTTGTCAAACAGTCAACCTGACAGGTCAACAATATTACTCGCCCTAGCCCATAAATAGAGCTTATATATAATATATAGATATAACTATATACAATCATGTATGTTTTAAGTTCAATAAGTTCTACGAGAAAAGTTACCTTTTTACAGCTGATATAAGTGATGGAAAGGTGGTTCAACCACTTTGTCAGTATTACTTGAGCATAAAAATTTAAGTTGAGTATTCCGAGGGCGATCCGAACGTGGCATACATTACGCGTGCTGTCATAGATGTTCTTAAAAGGTATTCTAGTCACGCAACTTTTTGACGTTTTACCTTCTAAATAGGTACTGGATATTAACCAAATTTCATCAAGAAATAGCGAATCAAATATAACATATCTATTTGCAAGTTTAAAATATCGTCGTAATAATTATTTTAAAAAATGAGATTCTAAATTTGAAAAATCTGGTAGATTCAATTGCTTTTTCTATTATAATAGACGGTTGTGAAAATGTAATAATACGTACGAAACAAATAAATACCAATGTACTAATCACGTACAATAATAATCCAAATAAAGCCTGAATTCTTAGTGGTTTATAAACCACATCTTATGCGTCTTCGTAGTCGATTAGTCACCTCGCGCTTCGGCTAACCACGCACAGCCGACTTAGTGCCAAGTCTTTTAACGTACTTGGTTATTAAAGGTGAATACAATGACTAAGATGATCTTTCAAAAACATTTTTTATACCGATTAACGGAAAGGAATGCTGATGTAACATGGACACAACAGACAATCCTATTTCAAACTCTGTATGTAAGAAAACTACATTTAGAAAGTGAATTATGCTTTCCCAGCTATTTTGCAAAGGTCCCTAGACTGTTCGACCGTTGTAATTAAGAAATGGTTCTTGTCGTTTCGCCATTAGGACTTGGTGATAGTATGTTGACAATATGATGACAGATATTGCGCGTGCGTCGTTCCGTCGAATTACGACGGCGGAAAAGCTCGGAAACCCAAGTACCATTATTATTTCAATTCAAAAACTTTCGAATTTAGATACTACCAAATAATAATACTATCAAAAGAGAGTCACTATAAGTAGTCATTTTAAATTCATGTGTATCTTTGTTCACAGAATGGTGGGGTGCCCGTACATTCTGCTGTGAATCGGACGAGTGTAACGGCGCCTTTTCAACGAAGTCCACATTCTCTATCATCATGGTTATCTTCATCGCGTATTTTGTGCACTGACTGTTTGCTGCTGGTAAGCTTTAAAACTGAGGAGATCGTTTGTTTTGGACAATATTTCACATAAACTTGTATTTGTAGTTCACGCAAGTACCTACACATTATAATTGTATTATTAAGTTAAAACACAGTTTGTTCTTTGATTTAACTACGAATGGCGTAACCATGGATATTGATATACATCTAAAACACCAGCTCGTAGATATATTAATGAAAAACCTCGTTTAAAATTGTTTAAATTTCGAATGTGTTTTTTTTGCTTAACAGTAGCTTTAGATTTAAAGTCCTATGTTCTGACACTGTAACGTATCGGGATCGTGATAGGAACATATTAAGACAAAGACAAAACGGAAAGATCTACTGTACCCACTGAAACGTAGCGATAGCGTTCTGCCTCGTACAAAAGGCCTATACTGAAATCTGTAGTATTTTTCTGATCGACACCTTTCAAATTCGGTCATGTTATGTTCCAGTGTGCGTGTGTCTGTTTGTTTTAGAGATCCACTAAGTTAAATTTTATGATTTTAGTGAAGCAAAGGTAATAAAGATATTGAAGGTATATAATTAGTATTATCATAATATCATACTAATTATATAGCTCGACAGCACATCTTCTTGAGATATGCTGTTTGAGCTGGGTTTGTCTGAAGTCGACCACATGCTTGTCTGTCGATAAAAAATATAATGACACATCTATACAATACAGATCTATTAAATGATATAAAAAGATGTAGGATATAAAGAAGAAAATTCTTGTACTGTCCCTAAAATTACGAAAAGTTTGAAACAATCAAAACTTTCTTAATTCGACCTTTGTCTCTGCTTTCAATTGTCCCTCCAAAAGCAATATTTCTAATGTAAGGAATTTTTACCGTAGAATGAATTCATGTACGACATACATTCCTGCTCATATTTACATTTCCACGGAGAAAAATCAAAATAGGTTGTATTCTAAATTTAAACTTAATTACGTGGCTAAGAATTTTCAACGGAATATCTGAGGCGTAGTTTTTTTAATTAATATATTTCTAAAAAAACCCGCGAGCAAAATTAAAATATTGTTTAATTAGTAACCTTCATAATTGTGATGTTTTAAACCGGCCATGCATTTTGTCGAGTTGCCAGTACAATTTATCACGCCCTCGGGATTATGGTCTTGCTAGTTAAATATTTAAAAACTTAAGATGATATTATAAATATTTTTCTTATTATTGTTAGAACACAATTACAACGACTTGAAAACTTTTTACAAAAAGCTAAAAATTTAAACGACTGACGATACCGTAATTTTTCTGTTTTTTGTATATTAATAACTTTATGAACGACATTCAATAAGTAACCGTCAAGGATTTATTTTTAATTCTTTGTTTGAAAAAGCAAATTTTCAATAACACATTGTCAAATGTATGCGTTTTTGAACACTAGAATGTATTCTCTATAAAAAGGAATAAAAAGATAATGCCAGCTCCATAGACAAAGGCAGAGACAATAGAGCTAATGTTTCAATGGGCACATTATTTTGCGGCTCATTGTTGCCAGTAGCGAAATTATTTTCGTTTCCATTTTAATATGACCGACACGCGCACAATAATTTGTCGGTTCTGATTGTCATTTACATACAAAATATATCTATACTATATATTTTTTTATGTTTGTTTGAACGCACTAATCTCAGGAACTTGTGGGTATTATATATTTGTGAGAATTTATCAGAGAGGCACTTCGCGTTGCGTCTTATAGCACCGTAGAACCATCGGGAAAACGGGGAAAATTATTATAAAAAACGGTTCGATATACCCAAAAAATATCTATTAAAGAATAATTTTCTTCAAACAATCTAAAAAAATGCTCGCTAAAGTATATGTCTATCCTTTAAAATAGTATCTGTGTGATGTCTCCTGTGGGTCGCAGCCTAGTGTTTTAAAGGTTAAAGCCTTTATTAATAAATGCTCCAACCATCACGAAAATAAATTAAAAATTCCTTATATCGCGTTCAAACAAACAAACAAAGTCAGCTTCATACTATTAGTATAGATAGCGCGACATAATATACGCTATATATAGCACATAGGTGCAACGATATTTCTTGTACAGCTAATCATTGTTGTAGAAACGAAGAACATCGCCATTCACATACAATATACAAATACTGTCTATAGTTTACGCGAGTATTACACATTTAAATAAAATACTTTGACGGTGTAACTAAAATATATCGCGTTTTAAACCGTTAAAGTGTCTTATTTAAATAAATTTGGAAATAGCGCGAAACCACTCGCACAAGTTTTAAGTCAATTAGTTCTCTTTTCTTTTAAATGGAAAGTGCTTATTCAAAAAGGCAATTAAAACACTCAACTCAGTATCTTCGCGGCGTTTAAATTGCTAACAAAGTTTATATTGAAGTAACCATTATGAAGAAACACAGGAAGACGTTTTAACGTTATAAATTTAAATAATTACTATGTAAAAATAGGAATGATAGACAAAGTTTGTGTTTTCTTTAAGTTTACATAAAATTACTTGAAAATAAGTTTTAATATATTTTGTCTACATTTCTGTACTTTAAAGAATAATGATTTGATTGTGATGAAAATAAACATATTTAAGTTATTAATAAGTAATGAATCATAGATAATAATCCTATCATATTGAATCGCAAATAAATATAATCGTAGATATAAAATAGAAAAAAGGTTCCATTGCTTTCTATGTTATGTTATTAAAGGTATATATTTTATTAGGTACAGAGGAATTGAATAAGAAATTTAATTAATTTATAACATAGTAAAATACTGATGACTTGCTTTTGAGTTGGGATACTTACATTGTAAATTTAAAATTTACAACATGACATTTTATTTTAATACTGCGTGTAATTATGAATATATTCTAAATACAGCATATCATTGTCTTTCTTGCTGTTCGGCCGATGTGAGCGAGAAGAGGTTCTCGACTTTTACTCGAACTATTCCTAATTCTTCGAGCAATCGAGGAGTGAGCACTCTTGATGATGCCGTCTACGTGATGGCGAAACGTCGAGAACCTCTTCTCGCTCACGTCGGCCGAACAGCCCGAAAGACAATGATATGCTGAACGATGGCCGTGAAAGCCTTACACAATTTATATTCTAAATAGTTTTTATTTTACGAAAACTTATGAAATCTCTTTGATAAAAAGTCTGTAATTACTCTCTCAGCAAGTTATGTTTTTAAATATATGAGTAGAACTTTAATATATGTAATGCTTAGATATTCGAACCTAAGTGCAAAAATTAAAATGATTAAAATTTACTTAATGACTATATAGATTTAACAAATAGGGCTGTCGTTAAAAAATAAAAAGATTTATTTATGTTTAGAGAATAACATTGTGAACCTTAAAACTCTGATATTTAATATCTAAGTTTGCTTTTAATAGATATATGTAAAATAAACGCTTTATAGATAATATCACGTGAACATCAAAACTGAATAATTCTAAATTATAATAAAATTCTATTTAATATATAAGTTACGATAAGTCACTTAATTTATAGAATTTAATGTTCTAAAATTAGGGGAATGTACTTTAAAATCTACTAAAATCATTTTATTGTTATAGTATTTTAGATATAGCTTAATAATAATCATGAATTGTTCGGTTTGATTTTCGTTGAAACTGACAGTTTTGGCACACTCTTAAGTCCTAAGGGCTCAAACACATAAACACGTTACGATGACGCAACGTACAATGATGCGACGTTGTTTCACGATACGACGTCGTAACGTCCCTATGCACGACGTCGTGACGTTAGAAACTCACGATACAATCCTGCGCAGTAAATATTCAATATTCAAAGATTACTGATGCTATTAAAGTCGATCATTTAATTACCATAGTCGAGCAGCGTTTCGTACTATGGGACAAAACATCTAAAGAATACAAGAATAAAAATGCAAAAACAGCATGAAAAGAAGTCGGCATCGTGCCGTATATCGAGCGTGGCACATCACGTTACGATGTCGTGTTTTTTAGCATGCTCATCGTAGATATACACGATGCGACGACGCATGGTGTTTATATGTGGGGGCCTTTACGTAGTTTAAAAGTAGCTTCACTTCTAATAATTTTTATTGAGTTTTTTTAATTATAAATAAAAATGTCTTTCCAAGTTATGAAAAACTTAAATCAGAAACGAGGTATAGACGCAAAATAAGTTACTTTGTAATATAGCAATAGTTTATACATAGTTGCGCTATTTTAGATTATGTTCCTAGTGAAATAAAGACCAATTTATCACTCATTGTTATTTTTATTCGCCTAGTTAAAAAAATGCTCTAGATTAGATTTCATGCGAAAAAATAAGGTTTAGTATTGTGTATAAATTGATACTGTTTATAAAACAAAATATAAACAAATTGCTAATTTTAATATAAATTCCAGTTTCTTATAAATCTTTAAATTAATTGACGAAACTGGTAGATAATATATGTATATAGAAGTAGTATCTGTTAACGGCAGTTTAGATGGCCAATTACTATAGAGCCCAAGACCATTAATGGACAGCAAAATTAATTATTCATTTTCCGGGTTGGATATTATTCTAAAAAAATATTGTTAGCAAAACTATAAATACTGTTTTTATTCAAAAATGTCTGGAGATTTTTTTTATCTCTTGTCTTTATAGCCTGAAATAAGCATTCCCTTGTTAGTTGTAAGTAATTGTTTAATTTTCATGCGGGCAAGAATTGCAGTGGTCGTTTGTCTCAACACGAAGCTTGTATACAGCAGTTCTGCGGCAGACGAAGAATTCAAATCGTAAATTTTCCAGCCAGGACACATCGTTTAAGTATAAAATGGTGATATCTCCAAATGACAAATGTTTCATTTGATGCGATGTAGGACAGTGGTACGCTTGGCAAACGTTCGTGTCAGATCAGGGTTGCAAGAGATATAATAATATCTTTCTTCTCTTCAATCTATTATTGTGGGAGGTTAAGGCTCTTCAAATAACTAAGACGTTA